TATATAATAAATATGATAACAAATATTACATGAATAGGAACTCTCGTTTATATAAACAATCTGAGTTATCCAAAATTAGAGTGTCAGCACCATTAGACTGGTCTAGACTCAGGCCAGAATTCTTCACACACCAGAGGCTCCAGAAGAATCATTCCTTCTCTCTCTTCCATCCAGCCCATCTCTTTGGGATATCTGGCCAACTCACATGTGTGCACACATGAGTGTGATTGGAGGTAGGTGGATAGTGAAAGTGGTAGAGGGCTTAAGAATACCTGGAATGAGAGGAATAGGGATGGGGTCCACATGGGTCATGCCCTGGGCTAGTTTGGCTCTCTCAGCTGGTCTTAGTTCCAGAAGGGGGGATAATTAAATTTTTTCTGAGGGTATCTAAAGACCTTCAGGATAGCTCTTTGAATAGGTGGAGATCTCTTGCAAGGGGAAGAAGAAACCTTTGTAAAAGAAATACTGCTTGTGACTTTAATCTTTGTGGAAGCGCTTAAACCTCAATTGTGCTAAGCCAGAAAAGGTATTTTTTTTAAAAAGGAGAATGGTTCAGATGAACACAGTTTGGTTAGTGTGACCAGTGATCGATATAATTAAGTATTCATGAAGAAAAAGCTTAATTATATCCAGGCATTCAGTTTTCTTTAAATCTTGTTCTAATTTTCTATTGATTTCATTAATACAGTAGTTTATAATAGAAATAAATATCTATAGTGAGTTATAGCAGTATATAATTGTATTTTAGATAATTAATAAAAGGCCTATTTTTTCACTAATTAGATAAATTAGTGAAAAAAATAGGCTTTTTCACTTACTCATCAAACACATCATTTGAAGCTTGGATCCCTCTGCCCCATTTTCCTTCCTTCCTTCTTTTTCTCTCCTTTCCTTCTTTCCTTCCTTCCTTCTTTCCTTCCTTTCTTCCTTCCCTCCCTCCCTCCCTCCTACCCTACCTCCCTCCCTCCTTCCTTTCCCTCCCTCCTTCCCTCCTTCCTTCCTTCCCTCCCTCCTTCCTTCCTTCCTTCCTTCCTTCCTTCCTTCCTTCCTTCCTTCCTTCCTTCCTTCCTTCCTTCCTTCCTTCCTTCCTTCCATAATAAAGGTATGCTCTTATTGAGCACTATCTGTCAGGTGCTGCTGTACTGGTATTTACTTATTTCATTGAATACTCACTGCCTCCCTTGAATCCCCATTTTATAACCAAGAAACCTAAGACTCAGAGGGATTATCTCAAGAATACCCAGTTCTGTCTTCTGATGTCAAAGCCCTAACCTTTAAGACAAAGCTTCCTTTCATTGAGTAATTACCACATGCCAGGTACTGAGTTAGGTTCTTGGGTCTTGGGTCGGCACAGATGTGTGTAAGTTATATAACCTGCTCACAAGGAGCTCACAGTCTACTGGAAGTGGTGCTGGGAACTGGCACATAAATAATTGAAGTTGACAGTTATAAAGCAGTGAGGTGTGGATTGTCATGGGGACTATTAAGAACTGTCTGGATCCCATCTATGGAGGGTGGAAGGGGACAGGGCTCAGAAGGGCTTCCAGGAAGACCTGTCCATGTACTGATCCTTCAAGGATCAATCATAGTGAAGAAGGTGAGGAGTAAGAGGATGGGCATCCCAGCAAAAGGGACAATAGGAGAAAAGTTATAGAAGTAAAGAATGACTTGGCCAGGAACACAAGCCATTTGGTGTGGTTAAATCTGTAGGATTTGGGGATTAACTTGTTGTGGAGTATTGCAGAGAGAAATATCAGATTTCTGGATTCTCATATCTGCTTCTTCATTCAATTGGTTGTATATGCATTTATGCAAGAAAAAGATAGAAAAGGGCAAGTAAATTAACTCCTAAATATCTTTGTGAAAATAGTTTTGACCTTGTTGGTACCCTAGAAGTTCTCTAGACCATACTTTGAAAATCTTTATGTTTGCCGAAACTGGTTGGGCTCAGTGGATAGAGCGTCGATTTGCGGACTGAAAGGTTCGATTCTGATCAAAGGCATGTAGATTGGTTGCGGACACATCCCTGTTGTAGGATGTGCAGGAGGCAGCTGGTCGTTGTCTCTCTCATCGATGTTTCTAGCTCTCTATCTCTCTCCTCTCCCGTCCTCTCTGTAGAAAATCAATAAAATATATTTTTAAAAAGAGGAAAAAAAGAAAATCTTTATGTTCAATGCATGACATTGAGCAATCTTTCAGCTTTGATGGGACTCAATTTTCTAATCTGTAATTTGGGGGCTGTTAGTAGTAAGGGCCTCATAAGTTTGTAAGGATTTCATGAGTCAATATATGTAAAACCCTTGAACTAGTGCCTGATACATGGTAGAGGCTCAGTAAATATCATTTCTTGTGATTCTGAGTGGCAGTAAAATTCTTCCAAGAAATACCAAAAACTCATTTAAGCTTGATTCTCATGGTTTTCTCTTCTTGTCCTCTCTTGTTCCAACTGCAAAAGTAGGCTTCAAATTCAACTTCCAACTTAAAAATGCTGCTGTGAAATAATTATAGGTTTTAGTGCTAGTCGGTTTGTGACAATGGTGGTGGCACTTTATGTCAGACTATCAGCTACTGACAGTTTAGCATGTCATAATTTCCCAGGTTCTTTCTCTCTTCCTAATACCAGAAATCATCCCTTCCCTGTGAGTGGAAATTGGGAGGTAGATGAGATAAAGGAAAAATAAGTGATCTGACCAGCACCGGGTGCTGCCTGGGGCCACAAGATTTCAGTTTGGCTGCTTCCCCCTTTTTATATTTTTCAAATTGCAATCATGAAATGGATTGATATGTTTGAAGAGTGGAAGTCAGAGGCCATCACAAATAGTGGGGGATTTGTGTCAGCAATTTTTCTCCCTCTCTTTGATGGGGGTATAGGATGAGTGAAATAATCAAACTTAGCCTTGGCTTCCCAGTGAAATTACCTGAAAACTTTTTTTTTTTTAATTTTCACCTGAGGATATATTTTTAAAATTGATTTTAGAGAGAGAAGAAGGTGGGGAGAGAGAAACATTGATCAATTGCCTCCCACACATGCCTCAATGGGATTGAACTTGCAACCTAGGTAAGTGTTAATTGGTGATGAAATCTGCAATATTTTGGTTCATAGGACAATGCTCCAACCAAGTGAGCCACCTGGCCAGGGCCTCCTCAAAAAAATTTAAATGATGTATTACCTGAATCATCCTACCCCGACAGATACTGATTTAATTGGCCTGGAGTGTGGAATTTTAAAATCCTCCCTGTGTCCAAGTTTTGCCAGGCTATGACTATGAAAGATCATGTGTTTTCCTTTTAAATTGTAAAATATAAACAATCTACAAAAAAGTACCTAACACATAAAAAAAAAAAAAATAGTCGGTTTAATATATTGTAAAACGAACATCCATGTAACTGTGATCCAGTGAAAGGAACAGAATGTTGCCAAACTCCCAAAAGCTTCCCTTACCTTTATTCAGCCATGCCCTTTTTACAACTCTTTAGAGATAACCATTACCCTGGCATTTTATAATCACGTTGTTGCTTTGTCTTTTAATTTTACCATGAGTATGAAGAAAAGATTGGCACATTTTTGAACTTTATTTAAACGGTATCATACTTTTTTTCCCCCCCTGGCTTCTTTTTTTCAGCATTTGAATCATTCTTGTTTATGAATGTAGCTGTAGTTCTTGCTTTTAATTATTCTGTAATATTTCATTATATCAATATGGTACACCTTATGGATGTTTTGGTTGTTTCTGGTTTGGAGCTATTACAACCAATGCTATGATAAATATTTTCATGTGTCCCCTGGTGCATGAAGGCAGACACAATCTATCTAAGTGAGTTATTGAATGCATTCTCCCATCACAAGGAAGTGAGAGACAGAACTGCTGTTCTGGTAGACTCTTGGGGTAATAGGAGTTGGCATCTGGGACCCTGTTAAGATTCCTGCTCTGGACTGGGATTCTTTAAGGTTGTATACTATATTTTCTCAAGTGTCACTTCTCAGTGAGATCCTCTCTAATCACCTTTCTACAACTACAACCCTCCCTATTCCCCTTTCATCTGTAGCATTTATTATTTTCTAACTCATTCAGATACATATCTTGTTTATTGTCCATTTCCTGACATCATTAGAATGCAAATTTCATGAGGAATTTTTATCTGAATGATCAGGTTGAATTACCATTGCTTAGAATATAGTACATGGCACATAGTGGTTTCTTAATAAATATTGATTGATTGATTGATTGATTAAATATTAGTGGCAGAATAGGCATTGTTTAGGAACTGGAACCTGAGTTTTAATTTTTATCTTTGCCTGTATTATGCTTTGTAACTCCAAAATATTCTGTTTCTACATTTCTATGTAATCATTAACAAATGGTTATAATATCTGTTTTGTATGTATCATTGAATTTTAGTGAGTGAGGCTCATGCAAGGAAGTAATCTATATAGATGTGAAAAGATATTTCTATAATCTTCCTTGTTTATATATAGTATCCTGAACAAATAGCTCCATTCCCCTTTACTTTAAACCACTCCCAAGAAAAAGCTCTCCCTTTGAAAATAGGCTAGAGCTGACAGGTTAATGCTTGCATCTCCCTTTGAAGACTTTAGTGGATCCTTTGCATATCACTTAGGTTAGATCATTAGACTCATTATAAGTCATTGCAAAACTGAAGAGTGAAATAATAACCCACCACAAGGGTCCAGGCCTTGAATGTGTTCAGAGTTCTTCTCTCTGGGTCATCTCTTTTCATCCCTGTAGGATGAAAGTCTGTAGGCAGTGTATGGCTTCATTTTAAGGTGAAGAAATGGAAGTTGAGAGATATCTAGTCTTCCACCAAGGCAGGGGAGCTGATAAGACAAAGTCTTGGGGAGAACTCATGTCTTTCTGACTCCAAAACTAAACTCTCACCCACCTCAGGAAATTGAGAAATTTCATTTAAGAGCTGACAAGTAAATATGTATTATCACTCCTATAGATGATGTTTCTCACTGATGTGCTATTTGTTTTCAGACTGTCTATGACCAGTGGTTCATCACCCTATTTAACATTGTCTACACATCACTTCCTGTTTTAGCCATGGGGATTTTTGACCAGGTATGTGTTTTTCTCTATTTACAAGTTATTTTTCTCTGTTGATGCCTTTTAGTTGCTTCTAACTTCTAAGTAGAAGATACAAGTCATAGAAAGAGTCTTGGGAGTGCAGTTGTTTTAATAGGTATTATATGGGTCATATAATACCCCCTTTAAAGTTCCCTGCTGCCTCAAGAAATTTCTCTGATCAAAGTTTGGGTACTCTCCTCTTAGAGATTCATACCCTAGATTCATACTCCACCATCTCAGAGCTCTTAAGGCTCTGAGCATTTTCATGTGTCCTCTGGTGCATAAAGGCAGACAGTGTCTATCTAAGTAGAGTTGTTGAATGCATTCTTTCATCACAAGGTAGTGAGAGACTGAGCTGCTGTTCTGGTAGATATAGTGGTTCAAGTCACTATCTCAAAACCATACAGCCAATAAGTGATAGAGCCAATTCAGTCTAACTCCAGGCAGCTCTTAAGGCTCTAAGATGTCCTGCAGGAAATAGTCTAACTTCTTCTTAATTAAGAATTTTTCAAACTCATTTGACTGTACTTTCAGTTACCTATTTTTTATATATCACTTATTAATATGCCTCAGAACTAGTGCCTTGTGATTCACACATCAGGAAGTGAGGTATTAGCCTCTGAGAGTGTAGAGAACCATGAATGATAGATACAAATTCATGGAACCAGATTGGAGTGCAGAGAGCTAGCACTTGTGGTGAGACTTCCTTGGTCAGCACATTCCAGAACAGAATTACAGACAAGAAGAGAACTCTCCCAATGGGAGAGAGAGAGAGACACAGCCCCATAGCCACGGGGATCACAGTCTTTTGTTTAACTCAACATGCTTCAGAGGAGAGAAGAGAAGGAATCATTTATAAAAAATGGTGGCTCCTTGGCATACTCAGAGCCTTGGAAGGTATTTTCTGGAAGGGGGGACATGTCTGACTGCCTGTGGGGAAGTGAAAGGCTAGCCAGAGGAGTTTCCATGGCACAATGACAGTGTATTATTAAAAAAATTTTTTTGAAGTATTTTTTAAGGAGTCCAGATTTTCTCCAGGCTGTTGTTAGACCCATTTGCTAAGCCTCACTTTCTGGCCCAAAGCCATCTATTGCAAAATATAAATCTTCACATTATGAGCTCACTCCACTCTCCCATTTTGTGGCTTTGTAGTCAGCTATAAGTTTCACTTTTCATATGTAAAAAGGGGAGTGTGTAAAGAGCACATTTTATGGAGCTGTACACAAAGTAATAGACTCCTAAAAACCTTAGATGTAGAGGATTTATGCACATTCATTTTCAAGGGCCCATGTGGACAAGTGTCTCTTTTCTTGGTACTTCATATCTCCTTAGTATGTGGAATCCTATCTAATAAAAGAGTAATATGCAGATTGACTATCACTCCAACACACAAGATGGCTGTCCCCATGTGGTCAAAGATGGCTGCCCCCATGTGGACACAAGATGGCCACCACAAGATGACCAGCAGGGGAGGGCAGTTGGGAGGGACCAGGCCTGCAAAGGAGGGCAATTGGGGGCGATCAAGCCAGTAGGGGAGGGCAGTTAGGGGTAACCAGGCAAGCAGAGGAGGGAAATTGGGGGCAAACAGGCTGGCAGGGGAACAGCTAGACATCAATCAGGCTGTCAGGGGAGTGGTTAGGGGGTGATCAGGCTGGCAGGCAGGAGTTGTTAGAGGCAATCAGGAAGGCAGGCAAGCAGTTGGGCACCAGCAGTCCTGGATTGTGAGAGGGATGTCAGACTGCCTGTTTAGGCCTGATCCCACTGGGCAATTGGACATCCTTCGAGGGGTCCCAAATTGCAGAGGGTGCAGGCTGGGCTGAAAGACCACCCCCACCCATGCACGAATTTCGTGCACCAGGCCTCTAGTAAAATAATAAAAGTAAGGCAGTTTCTGGGAAAAGATGATTATTGTGCAATTTGAAAAACAATATATAATAAGGCCTCTATTATTTGTTCTTTTCCTTTTCTGCTTTGTCAACTTTGGTTCTTAAACTGATCCCAGGATCATAGAGTGCTATGCTGAGAGGGTCTCATTGGTCACCTACAAATCACTCATTTTATAAGGAGGAAAGCAAGGTTCAGAGGTTCAAGTCACTGCCCCAAAGCCATCAGCCAATAAGTTACAGGATTCAGCCTGACACCAGGTCACTTGGCCCTGAGCTTGCTACCAGTGTTATTATTATTATCGTTATTTAATTTATTATTATTTATAGAGGCATCCGTATTTATTACATAAGGTATGGCAGGAACTCTGCTGAATACATACCCATTTAATGATGACAGTAGGCCTGTGACAGAAGTGCATTTCTGGAAATTAGGAAACTGAAGCTCAGACAGGTCTAAGACTATACAGTTACTAAGCTGTAGAGTCAGGGTTTGAACTCAGGATTGTTTGGTTTCAAAGTCTGTGCACTCAACTCCACAGTCACTGGACTGAGAAATCAAGCCCCCAACAACATCTCAAAACCAGACTTCCTAAAAAGAATATGTCAGTGTTCTTCCTGAGACCCCATTAACCAAGACTCAAGCCATCCCACAAGGGGACAGATAATCTGGTCTGCTCCCAGAGTATGCCAAGGAGCCACCATTTTTATATTCCTTTCTTTTTAGCTGCTTCTTCTCCATCAATGCCCCTCTGATGTCCTCTGTGGTCAGTCCTTGCCATCCTTTTTGGTTTGGGCATTTGGCTTTGGTGGTCACAGTGTGGTCATCAGCTTTGGAGCTGGTTGGAAATGCAGTCTCTGGCCCTAGACTTATTGAATCATAATTTGCTCCCAGGTGATTTCCATACACATTAAGCTCAGGAGTCACTGTTTCTCCAGGATTCCCATTGGGGCCAAACATGATGCCCTCTATATTGTAGAAATCCTTTGTCCTGAACACCTGGTAACGATCACTGGAATCTTTCCTGGGCAGAACACTCAGCTCTTCCTGCCCACCTGGACTCCCACGTGCAGTTTTCCCCTTTTCCTGTTCCCCAATTCTGTCTCACCCACTCCTTTAAGCTGGGAACTCTGGTTAGCCAATTCCAACTCTGCAGCTCTCTGCTGCCATCACCTGGGTTACTACCACTTACTGCCTTGGCAATGAATCCCATGGTCCATTGACTGCACATGATGTACTAGGATCCTGGGGTCAGGAAAGAAAACTTAAAAGTGAAGCCAAACATCTGGGTGCGAGTCAGGTTTTGGTTCTGATAGAAGAGCTGTGTAACCTCTCATGAATCTCTCTTGGAAACTCAAGTTCCTCCTTTATATAATAGAGATCATTTTAGTATCCTCTGGGTTATTGTGGGAACAAAAACAAGATAATGAGTAGTGCATATGAGGGCATGCTTAGACATGCACTTGCTATTTCTGGAGATAGGGAATTTGGGGCCTCTGACTTCTCCTCAAATCTCCTCTGCTGAAACAACTCTCTGTTGACAGGATGTAAGTGACCGGAACAGCATGGACTTTCCCCAGCTCTACAAACCTGGACAGCTGAATCTACTTTTTAACAAGCGTAGATTTTTCATCTGCATGGCACATGGAATCTACACCTCCTTAGCCCTTTTCTTCATCCCTTATGGGGCCTTTTACAGAGATACTGGAGAAGATGGGCAGCATGTTGCCGACTACCAGTCTTTTGCAGTTACCATGGCCACGTCTTTGGTCATTGTGGTCAGCGTGCAGGTAAACTTGTTGGTGAAAACATCTTAACTCATGCCTTTAGAACTTTTAAAATTCTGTTTCATTGTTTACTGATTTTTGTCTACTTCTCAGAGAAAAAAAAATCCTACAAGAACACTGGGGCTTCCTTTTTAACTACACACTTTGAGATGGATGCTAGCTGAACCTATTGTGGTAATCATTTCACAATAAATGTAAATCAAACCATCATACAGTATGCCTTAAACGTATGTAGCAAAATATGTTAATTATTTCTCACTAAAGCTGAAAAAGAAAGAAAATAAGAAATTTTAACGTAAATTACCTCAAGTAGGAAATTAGCATAGGTGTCTATAACCTCCACATTAATAGAAACCACCCAATGAATCACTTCTTGGGATTGAGCGTGGTTAATAAAGACATATGATTATACTACTACATTCTTCTGGTGTTTGAAGAACATTTTTTCTGCTTAAAACAGAAAGAAAATTATTTTTATAATTTCTAAAAGACTTAATAATTTCAGATTTTAAAGTGAAATCTAAAGTTTATCTGGCAATACCTTTCCTTGGAACTATTCAAGAGGTTCAGTATTGTATCTGTGGCACCTCTGAATCTGACAGAGATGATTTCTTTAAAATATATATTTTTATATTCTATCATAGCAATGCCAGGGAGGAAGGGAGGAGAGAGAGCAACATCAATGATGAGAGAAAATAATCAATGGTATGACTTTTGTATGCCTTCCCTGGGGACTGAGCTCACAACACAGGCATGAGTCCTGACAAGGAATCAAACCATGACCTCCTAGTTCATGGGTTGATGCTCAACCACTGAGCCACACCACCTTGGCAGGCAGGGATGATTTTTTATCTTCTTCCACTAAATATCTAGAGTTGTGTTTCTATTTCCTTTTTATCATAAACAAATGATGGACAACACTATTAGTTATGGTGTTAGAATTCACAAAAGCTTTCTGATCCATTAAAATCTGTAACTCTGCATGGATACAGCAAGCAATGTGGCTTCTGGTTTGTTTATTTTTTATTGAGGGGGAGGGGTTCTGTTTATTTGTGTGTGTGTGTGTGTGTGTGTGTGTGTGTGTGTGTTTTGAGAAAGTATTGATCAAAGGCTTAATTTTTATAAAGTTTGAATTGCTTTTGGCCAGTCCTTTTTCTATCCTATAAACAATCTCTTTTCCAAATCTTAGCTGCTCATATCCAACAAAAGATCTCACTAATCCCAGGCTTTTTCTTCATGACTCAATAAATATTTATTAAATTGAATGAATCAAATGTAAACATATTGCTTTAACATAGCATCTTTGTCATTCATTGGCCCATTTAAGTGATACCATTAAGTCCATATCAAAGCCATCTAACACTTGACATCTTGGAAGTTCAAAATTCAGAGTCAGATAAGTAGCATCCAAAAGCAGACTAGATTTCTCCATTAAGAAAAGAGTTCTATTTGTCTATTTTACAACTAAATAAAGCATACTGGTGCTTTGTGAGCCCTCCAAGTCTAGTTCCCCAATATTCAATTCTGCAGCAGAGGAGAAAATCGTGGAGTGGCTTGGAAGCAACTGATATAGCTAAGGCATTCATCAGTACAGTGAATTATCGGATAAGGTCTATATCTTGTCACTATATTGGGCACACCAGCCTCTCTGGTTTTGTTGGTTTTGGATCACTGAGCAAAGGCGGTATACCAGTATACTCGTATTGACCCAGCCTAGGGAATTGGATGATCTACTCCTTTTCATGAGGCTACATTTTCAGTTTTCTGGATTCTCCCTCCAGTGAGAGGGCAACTGTGGGATACACAGTGGCATCTTTTTAGCGGTGACATCTTTTTTGCTTATTCATCTTCAGGTCAGACCTGTTAGTTGGTGCTCCAAAAGGTGATTTGAAAGGTATTATAGTAACTGAAATAAAGGACCAATATCTGAATAAAATGGAAAGGGAAAGCATTCTTCATACTGCTATATAAATAAGGGCAAAAATTACCTGTAAAATTTATTGTAGATATGATAGCATTATGTGTTTTTAGTGAAACTAGTTTTCAAAATTAACTATAGTTTTGGGTTAGAAAGGAGTTCTGTTTGTCTGTTTTAATATAAAAAGTCTGTTGGTATTTTTATATCTCTTTTTCTCTTTTTTTCCTTAGCTTGTACATAATCTATTTTTTTAATATTCTATCATAGCAATGCCAGTGCTATGTTTCTATATTAGCTTTATCTTTAGAAGCAGTTTTTTCCCATGAAGCACACAGTTCTTGTTATGGTTGGATGTCACCATTACATTTCTCCATTTTTGTCATAAGTTGAGAGATCAGAGAAACAATCTTATTTTAAAAATATTGTTTATTCACAAAATTTTACATTTTGTAATTTGAAGTTTTTAAAATCAAACTATTTAACATTTCTTACCTTTGATTATCAAAGTTTTATAAGAATGATACCCATGGGTTCTCAGAGGGTTCATATTTAGGACTCAGAATAATTATTGGTTACCTGGTGGGACTATCCAGGTCTGTCTGGCTCAGGCCTAATTGGCCTTTGTCTCTCCAAGATCTACTCTCCACCTTCCATCTCCTCAAGATCAACTGTGGTCCACCTAACTTTTCTCTAATGTTAACACTAACATTCTATAAAATAAAGAGTAATATGCAAATTGACCATCACTCCAACACACAAGATGGCTGCCCCATGTGATCAAAGATGGCCACCCCCATGTGGACACAAGATGGCCACTACAAGATGGCCAGCAGGGGGGGTGGGCAGTTGGGAGGGACCAGGCCTGCAGGGGAGGGCAGTTAGGGGTGACTAGGTGGGCAGAGGAGGGTACTTGGGGGCGACCAGACCTGCAAAGAAGGACAATTGTGGGGGACCCAAGCCTGCAGGTGAGGGAAGTTGGGACAACCAGGCCTGCAGGGGAGGACAGCTGGGGGGGGACCAGGCCTTCAGGGGAAGAAAGTAAGGGGGAATCAGGCCTGCAGGGGAGGGAAGTTGGGGGCAACCAGGCCTTCAGGGGAGGGCAGTTGGGAGCAACCAGGCCTGTAGGGGAGGACAGTTGGTGGGGACCAGGCCAGCAGGAGAGGGCATTTAGGGGCAATCAGGCTGGCAGGGGAGCAGTTAGGTGTCAATCAGGTGGCAGGAGAGTGGTTATGGGCTGATCAGGCTACAGGTAGAAGCAGTTAGGGGCAATCAGACAGGCAGGCAGATGAGCTGTTGAGAGCCTGTAGTCCTGGATTGTGAGAGGGATGTCTGACTTCCCTAAACAGGCAGTGAGACATCCCTCAAGGAGCCCCAAATTAGAGAGGATGCAGACTGGGCTGAGGGACACCCCCTTCCCCATGCATGAATTTCATGCACCAGGCTTCTGGTCTTTTTTTTTTTTTTTTTTTTTTAATATATTTTATTGATTTTTGTACAGAGAGAGAGAGATAGTTAGAAACATCGATGAAGGAGTGTCATCGATCAGCTGCCTTTTTGCACACCCCCCTACTGGGGATATGCCCACAACCAAGGTACATGCCCTTGACCGGAATCGAACCTGGGGCCCTTCAGTCCCCAAGCCGACACTCTATCCATTGAGCCAAACCGGTTCCGGCGGCTTCTAGTCTTATATAACCACTGTGCAATTATCAATACTATGAAATTAGTCTTGGTATAATATTATTAACTGAGCTAAGGTATCCTCAGTTTTTCCATTAATGACCTCTTCTGTTCTGGGATCCCACATTGTCTTTAGTTGTCAGGTCTCCCTAGATTTCTCTAATATCTAACCATTCGCTTTCCTTGTCTTTCATAACCTTGACACTTTTGAAGAGTGTCAGGAGTATTGTAGAATGTCTCTGGGTTTGTTGGATGTTTTCTTAAGAATAGATTGAAATTGTGGATTTGGGGGAAGAATCACAGAGATGTGTTCTTCTTGTTGCATCCTATAAAGGAGCACATGATATCAACATAATTTATTATTGGTGATGCTGATCTTGGTTACTTAGTTAAGATAATATATTTCAGGTTTATCCATTATAAACTGTTTTCATACACTAGTCAATAGAAATGAGTCACTAAGTCAAGTCCACATTCAGGGTGAAGAGAATTAAGTTCCATTTCTTAGAAAAACGAGTTTCAAATAATTGGTGGTCATGTGTTATAAACATAACTGGTATAATTTTAAATAAAATTTATATAACAAATGGGGATACAAGATTTACCCAAGATTACACACTGACGGTATTGCAGGTTTAGGACTAGGATTCAGTAGTCTTATTTCCCAAATAAATGTTCTAAATAAAGGCATTTGTGTTTCTTAAAAAGGTGAGGTATTTTTTACAACACAACTATTTTTTGTTGCAGGGTATTTGGCATAATTGGGAAGCAGTAATGTACACATGGAGTTGTACTTCTAAAGATGGGGTTCTGGGTCTCAGCAGTTGATGGCTGTGATCTCTTTGCCATGTTACAGGGTAAAAGTCCTCTAAGTCTTATCAACATACTCCTGTTCCATGGATTTCTCCTCTACCTGATATCTCCCTGCCTCACCCATATGCCCACCACCAATTCTGAGTGCTAGCGGGGCCTGAACCAGCTGGGAGACTGAGGAACTTTCTGGATAGGAGAATGAGAAAGGAGAGATCGAGGCTGGTAATGGTGGACTAGAAGCAGCATGGGTGAGAATGAATACCAGTTTCCAACATCTGGCATGCTTCATTTATTACTGTACTCCAATTTAATCCACAGTGTCAAACACAAGTATTTTTTGAATGAATGGAAGGGCAAAGGATATGGAGAGAGAGGTTAAAATTGAACAAAGGAAATGAGACTAATTTGGTTGAGGTACCCAATATCCCTACTATATTAATTAATTCCCATCTTACCTCAGATGACTAAAGTAAGTCTGTTCTTGGTGGTAGCCTTCAGAAATGTGTTATCATTACCACTATGAGTAATATCATGCTTATACTGATTTTGCAGTAGGTATTATTGTCCCCTTTTACAGATGAAGCTGAGTGGTTAAATGAGGTCACACACTGAGTTCCAGGTCCAAAATTGGAACCCAGGCCTATCTGACTCCAGCATTTTCTGGGATAAAGTATTTTATTTTTCAGTAAGACTGTTTAAAATGCAAACTTTCAGGCAGAATGAGAAGAAAGGTTACACTGAGCATAAAGGAAGATAGATACTTTCTTGTTTATATAGGAGAAAGAAAGAGAGAGGTCATAAAGCTAGGAGCACTGGGGTTTAGGAGAGGGAATATCTGGAAGAACAGAGGAAGAAGATGTCTGTAGACACTAAAAGCATTCTTGGCCCACTTGCTTCTGTCAGGCTTTTCTGATTTTCAGAGTTACAACAGCAGCTCCTAATAATTGAACATTTCCTATGTAAATGAATTGTTACTGAGATAATTCCAGTATTTCATTTACTCCTCTCCACTCACAGTACTCTAAAACATGGTTGCTATTACTATAGATGAAAAAAATAAACATGTTATAGGCCAGGATTTAAACACAGATATAACCTCAGATCCCCAACTCCAAAGCCATGTGGACCTCCCTCCTTTATAAAGGTAACTGGAAGCTATGGCCTTCCCCCAATACATGGTAGGTACAGGGAATGCGTTCCACATCTTTCTTCCATGAGGGGATTCCTAGGACACCAATATCAACCTAGAATAAAATGGGGGAGAAACTCTGTAAATAGATGATAAGCACACAGATCCTCTTGCCACCTCAAAATTTCAATTTAAAGAATATATAGGTTAATTCCTGTCACTTTAGTCTATCACTTATTTTTATTTCTGGGAAGCCTTGAAAATGTCTGCTTTACCTTAGATTTCTTAGACATGATTGCATAAATGTTTATAATAATAAAAGCTTTGCAATTTTGGCTTCAATCAGAAGTTGCTGTCTTATATATTTAGAATAATACGTTTGAGGAATTCTGTGAATGAGCTCACTTTGATAGTGGCATCAATGGCCTTTCCTCACTGTTTAAGCTTGACTTGTCATTGTGGTAACAATCCTTATGAAATTTCTTTGGTCTATAATTACAGTTATAAATCATATGTATGTGTTCTGCTCATGCTATTGGCCAAACTGTACCCATCTCTATTATTTTTAAAATATGTTTTCTTCAGTTATTTAAATGATAAAGTTCTCCTTTTAGCATTTCAAACAATATAGAAGTGTTTAAAATAAACTCAACCGTCTTCCTTTCATTCTTTATACTTCCCTGGTTAACGGCTATTATGATTACCACGGGTCAGTCCATCCATATTTTTTTTCTTTGCTTTAGACACACACACACACACACACACACACACACACACGTATGTATTCAGGAGAAATTCTTGTAACTTTTGTAATATGTCTTTCTCACTTAGTGACATGTGTTGGACAGCTTTCCAAATCAATACATTCAGATCTATTGTAATTTATTAAGAGCTGCACAGAATTTTATAATATTGATATATAATAACTTATTCATCCTTTCTCTAATAATAGACATTCAAAATGTTTCTTTTCCTTTTTTTTGTTATTGAAGCAATGTTGCCATCCATATACTAGTTCATAGATTGTATGTACTGCATACATTCCTAAAAAATTAAATTTCTGGAGTCAGAACTAACTTTTATCAATCTGATAGATGAACAATGGTTTTGTTGTTGTTTTTCCATTGCAGAGTTAGAGAATATAAACATTTTAAATTTCATAAATATTGCCATGTTAATTTCCAAAAAGATTGTAGTTAAAAAACAAGAGAGACTTCTTTAAGTCTAAAAGATTTATTGAAAGCCACCAGGTAGCTCTAGCTGGTTTGGCTCAGTGAATAGAGCGTTGGCATGCGACTGAAGGGTCCCAGGTTCAATTATGGACAAGGGCACATGCCTAGGTTTCAGGCTCCATCCCCAGTCGGGGGCATGCAGGAGGCAGCCAATCAATGATTCTCTCTCATCATTGATGTTTCTCTCTCTGTCTCCCACTCTCTTCCTCTCTGAAATCAATTATATATATATTTAAAAGCCACCAGGAGGGCAAATGAAACAGGGAGAGCCACAGCTAGGCGTAGCTACTGGAGGCAGCACCCAACCACAGGGCAGGGCTGCACTGTTGTAGGGAGAACACTGCTGTTGCCCCTCTCACAGCTTGGCTCTGGTCACACTGGGTGGCAGGTGAGTCACCGAGTCCCAGGAATCATCACCTCCACCACCAGGCTTGTCAAATGTTGAGAAAAGTTTAGTAAACTTTCAATAGTGATTATGATTTTTATCAAGCTTTCCTTGTATTTCAAGGAAATTTTACCTTAAATAATTAATATTTTTATTTCTCTTGCCTTTTTTGGGGTCTACATTTACCAGATATATAATCTGGGCCCATATCTTTATTTTCATTTCTTTTTTATCTCATTCTATTAGTCTTTCCTCCTTTGATAAGAGAGTTAAACTACTCATTTTATTATAATAACTTATGTATTTTACTTTGTTCCTTTCATGTTCTTTTAGGATTATTTTTGATCCTATGTTTTTATTTCATTTTTTTCCATTATATACTTGGATGCCTTGTGCTTTTTTTTTTTTTTTAACATTCTACTTGAGTAATTTACAACTTTTACTATTAAATTCCTATTTTGCTAGCGATTTCCCCTTATTTTCATAATTGTTTAAATCTTATTTCTATACGACTATATCAAAACTAAGTAACATAACCTTCACCAAATGCTTCACTATTCTGTTCTGCACTTTCCCTCACCCACCTCCATATTAAACAATTTTGGAAACGTTTTTACTTTACTTCACTATCCCTGTCCCCTACTCCTCTCCCCAACTCTTTCATGTTAATGATTTAGAACTTTAGTTCTAGGATGTTATTAAATGCTCCTTAAACATATGTTTTGACTGTTTCAAAATTCTTTCTAAATTAATGCTACAGATCATATTCACATTATTACTCATTTAGAGCCAACTACAAATTTACAAGAATCATTGCTCACCACCACTTTTATGATCTTTGTCTTTAGCTATTTTGAGGTATTTGTTCTGATTTAATTTTTATTTGGTTGCAGCAACTCCCTTGAGTAATTTCTTCAAAAAGGAAAAATAGATTTTGTACTTTTGAGTCTTCTTTCTTTGTCTTTGTATTTACACTATTGGAATGGCATAAGATTGTTGAGTCAGAGCCTTCTTTGGGAGGAACTTTGTTGTTCCATAATATCCCAGTTTCAGTGTGGCAATTTGATATTAAGTTGATTCTCTCCTTTGTAAGTAATACCTTCTCTAGAAGTGTGTGTTCTTTATCCTTGGACTTCACAAATGTCACCAGACTCTAACTTCTTGCATTAATTTGCCTTGGATCTAGATTGCTCTCCCACATTTGAAAAATCTTGCTGTTTCTTATAGCAGAGCAATTTTCTTCTGTCATTTCTTTGATCTTTACTTTTTAAGTTTATTTTCCATTCTAAAATTTCATTTTTGGCATATTGTGTCCAAGGATCTGACATCTATGGATTTGCCATCCCTGTCTCATATCTCTTTGCACATGGTTTCTATTTCTTCAATTTTTGCTCTCTGTTGTGAGATACTATTTCCATTTGTTTTTTTTTCCAGAATATTAATTCAGTTCTCATTAGGGACTATTCTTATTTGGTTCTCTATTCAACTTTTAAATTCAGAAATAATGCTGTTTTTCTTCCAGAATTTTTTTTCTTGGTATCTAATTGCATCCCCTTAAGAGTTCTCATTACATTTTTTAAGTTATTGTTGTTATAGTACTTGTCTGTCTTTCCCATTAGTTCTGCCTCAATAGGAGCCACCTGTTCTTCTTCTTTTTTAGCAAAGTCTTAAAATGGTTGTGATTTTTCCTTGCCTACTCATACCAAGTGATTCAGGTTATTGGTATCTCTGGATAGTGATAAAATGATAGGCAATAGAAGATAGATTTGGAGATTTTGTCTAATGTCTTAGTAGCCAAACGAACTGGAAAATCAGCGTCTCTTTGCTGAGGCATGGGTAGCAGGGTCTTCTGTTCTCAGACCTCTTGAGTAAAGAAAATGCTGTCCCTTTATAAGCCCTGTATTTTACACCCAAGGCTTCCAGAATCTCTTTAATGGGTCAACATTTTAAAAGGCAGTAAACTTCATATGGGAAGTGGACATATATATCCACGTACAGAGAAGGATCTATTTACTATGTAGGTAGGACCCCCTCAGGCAGGTGAGAAATCTGTGGTTTGTACTTAGAACATTTGGAACCTCTGAGGTTCATATAATGATGTCAGAACCTACTTTTTTTTCTCTCCGAGAACACAAGGGTTCATAATCACCAGTGGCTTGCTTGGCATTCTGATAGCAGCCCACACTTTTAGCTGGGCTGCCACAACAAGGTATTGGAAGGCTTGTGAACATGCTCTCAGACCTCTATGAACCCTGGTGTCTAAACTTTGTCAGATGAGGATGAAGGATTTTTCTTTGTTATTATTTGAATAAGAGAAAGGATCCTCAGTATGAGATAAAGTATTAGTGTCAAAGAGATTTTTCCTATGTCAAAAATGGTCATGTGGAAATTTATGTAGAGATTATAAAATATATTTGCCCACTAAAGAAAATAATTTACCAACAGAAAAGTTTTGAAAACAATTTATAAAGTAACATTGAAATGAGAACTCATTCTACTTTATTATTTTTCTATAAAAAGAAGCTTCACAGGTTATTTCTTGATTCTGACTCAACCTTGACAATTATAATGGCTTTCAGATATAAGTTCTAAAGTCAGTTGCCAAGCAGAAATGTCAAGTCAGTGCCCTGTGTTGTGCAAAAAGTGGAAGAGCCTGAGGTTGTTTGGGAGCTAACAGGTGCAATCATTTTTTTCACAGAGCAATTCAGTAAAATGATGTTCTGAAAGATCTCCCCTGTGTATTTGACTTTGCAGATTGCCTTGGATACCAGTTACTGGACGGTCATTAATCACGTCTTCATCTGGGGCAGCGTTGCCACTTACTTCTCCATTTTATTTACAATGCATAGTAATGTCATGTTTGGTGTCTTCCCAAACCAGTTTCCATTTGTTGGTAAGTGAATCCTATTATCTACTGGGGCCTAGTGTCATTTGTTTGTCTTTGTAATTTATTTTCTGGGTTGGGTGGGACTAGGGGTGATCAATAATCTTTTTTTCTAGGAATTGATTGCATCAGAGGCATCTGAATGCTTCCAGACTTGAAACGGGCTCTGAAAGACTAGTTTCTGCTGTCCTTAACGAGATGCAGAAGAGTCATTGAAATAGATGCTTACTGGTTCCCAACAACCCAGATGCACTAAACTGCCCCTTTGAAAACAAGAGGCATAGCATATACTAGTGTATTAGGGCTACCTGAGACTTGTATGGTAGAGGAAAGAAAAAGAGCAAGAAATTCTGGGCTTTGCCTTTTATACCATGCTATTACCAACATATCTGTCAAAGATTACCAGTGGAACTTATTTGTATTAGGAAAGAAAAAAAATGTGTAATTTAGAGACTTCTAAAAAATTTGGTTCATTAATCCATAAATCACATGAAGAGTAGGCTCAGATTTTAGATGACCACAGTTCAGTGTCAGCTTCACCACTTATAAGCTGTGTGACCTAGGAACAAGTTTCCTTTCCTTTCCATGCCTTAATGTTTTCACTTCTAACCTGAAGATATTTATAGTTCCTAGTTGTATAGGAAATTTGTGAAGGTTAAATGAGATAATACATATAAAATGCTTAGCATGTGGCATTTTATGTAGTACTTTAAAAAAACAAATGATAACGGTGATTATGATGATGATGTTGGTTCAAGAAAATGTAGCTTGGGGACATTTCAGAGTGATTTGAGCAGTAAATGGGTAGCAAAGCACCTTCTACTATTCCTTACAATATTGATATTCTTTGATTCTACAAAAGTGTACATCTGGTCTATCTATGGTGTAGACTACCATTGCTCTGTACATTTCAAAATGATCCTAGCAAAAGTCACTGAACTTTACACAGTGGGGCTACTAACACACTTTCTCAGAAGTTTTGAAATCTCTAGGGTGTGTTAGAGAAGTTAGTAGCAATGATGTTTTTGAATTCATCCTAACAAACTGTGAAGTGACATAGAGTGACAACCTTCTTGGGCTCAATTAGGCAAGACTGAGATTTGCATCTACTAGTTGGGGAATCCATTCTACAAAAAGATATGTAGAAGACTTCTTGTAAAAAGCAAAATAAGAGCAACTATAGCGTTATACATTTCCAATTAGGCCAAGGTTCCTCTATTTATAATTCCATCTAAATGCATACATACACTTAAGAATGTTATTCTTCAACTTTTGCCTTGCCTGCATGTACATGGAAATTTTAAATTGCACCACTCTTACTTAATACGTAATATGAATACTTTGCTTACCAGAAGATTCCAACCATGTAGAAGAAACATGATGGTTATGAATAAAAATAAGCATATTAGGCAAGAGAGACATTAAAACTATTTTTAAGGTTCTTTTTTGGCTGCCAAATCTGAAAGTTCAGTGCATTGACTAGAAGATTTTCAGTCCTAAGAGAGCATTCTAGAATGCATAATGGAACTGGAATGCCTCAACCAGAGAAAGTATTTTGTGTGGGGACTGCTCTCTCCAGCTAAGCACATGTCATTCCAAGAATTAATTACTGTGCTCCAATGAGACTTTTCAAAAGTTAGATCAACATTGGGGTTTAAGAAAAAAAAGTTTCCTTAGTAGCCAGCAGAAAAAAGGAATGTGGTTTTAAAGCAAAGCTTGTTTTTATTTTTATTTTTTCCTCAGCCATGATTGGGGATACTGAGCTTCAGAGAGCTTAAAGAGACTATTTCTTTATTTATCCTTACCCAAGGATATTTTCCCACTGATTTTAGGGATAGTGGGAGGGAAGGGGAGACACACACACACACACACACACACACACACACACACACACAAACATCGATGGGAGAGAGACACATCTATTGGTTGCCTCACACACATGCCCCCATCGGGGTGGGAATTGAGCCTGCAAGATAGGTGCCTGTTATTTTTTAAGAAACAAAAGACTCAGGAAGAACCTTTGACCTTCCCTCTCATTGCCTAAAAATTTAGAAAGAACCTTCTCCAGAATGGGAGTTACCATTATAGATAACTATAATTTAATATAAACTAGGTGTGATAGGGAGAAAACTAGCAAGGCCCATTTGATCTAAATCCTTCCTATGTCCATTGTTAAAGATGGTCTAACAAACATTTATTTATCGACATTTGCTTCTCCATTTCCTTGTGAAGTGCCTTCTTTCCCTTTGAAGTTGAAACTACTGCTTCCCTCTAATCCCTACTCCCCTTTCTCCTTAGCTTAGGATAGCTTGTAAGTCTCAACTACTACAGTAAATGTGCCTTTTATAAATAATGGCTGTTTTGCAGTTGAAGGATCTAAAAGCCAGTGAGAGAATTGTGCTTCACTCATGAAGCTGGACTGAACCTGAATCAGAGGATGCTCCAGCTGATAGTCTTCAAGGGGTCAGGCCACCAAGCAGTTTCCAAGAGTTATCTGTCTTGCCTTCTCCTCATCACCATTGAACATACCATATAGTGGAGAAGACACCTAATTTAGTAGTTCTTTCTTGATAGTCCAAACATTGCCATTCCTAAAAAGACCTTATGGGTCTAGACAACAAGCCTATTAATTCAAGCATTCAATTCTATTTATAAACACAATGTATATTCTTCTTTAATGATAGGAAATGCACGAAATTCCTTGACCCAGAAGTGCATCTGGCTTGTCATTCTTCTAACGACAGTAGTTTCAGTTATGCCTGTGCTGGCGTTCAGATTTTTGAAGGTGGATTTATTCCCGACCCTGAGTGACCAGGTATGTTGTATTGCTGATGAGTTCTTAAAAGGCTGGTTTTTGGTTCTTGGAATTGAGTTTTTCTCTGCCTGATTGGAAGCCCAGTGAAGGGCCAATGAACTTTCCATTGGCAAACACCCTTAAGTACACAATGTCACATTACAGTAGATGGAACTGCCTATATCTGAATGTACTAACCTTATGAGTACCAACCAATAAAGACAAATGTCTAGATTAAATATGGGTGGAGAATCATAAATTAAAGTGAGGTTGGATATTTTTAAAACTTGGCTGGAAGCATTTTGAACAAATGTTCCAACGGAAAGACAAGCAATGGGGAAAGTTATTGTCTTGGGGGCAAATAAAGGTTATAGTAAAAGAGGGACAATCAAGGTATGTGGTGCAGAAGCTCTAAATATTTGTAGAAATATAGTGGCAGATTCAGAAACATGGAGGAGATGTTACCTTCTGAACAGATTAAGAAAAGGGAACAGCAGCACAATCGATGGATTGGAAAATAGAATGGATTATAGGATTATCTAAACCAAAGGATTACAAGAACATATTTCAGTATTTCCTTCCAAGAGGAGCATTAAGCAGGACAATATCAAATTAGGTCTGGACACAGGTAAAAAGAGAAAAGGAGAAAGATGGGGAGATTCATTTGTAGTCACATCAAGAAAAGGGTAAAAACACTAATGGGATGAATAACTGGACCAATGATGCTGAGAGGAACTGAAATGGAATGTTCCTTGTCATGCTATTCCTATTATTCAGGGGCCAAACCATAAAAATATTCCTTCTGAAATGATTTCTGGAGTTCCCTCTTTGTCCTTTTCCTTTGGCTGTGAAAGCTCATTCTTATGTAAACCAAGAAAATGATGGATGAGTTGAAGGAAGAAAGATAATGATCATTTCTTCCTATATTTAGTCAGATTGTGACTTTTTGCTTAACAGTTTTTTAATGACACAAAAATTGGAGTGCAAGAAATCAGCTGAATTAGAGAACAAGGTGGTTTATAAACCTTGTTCTAAAACTTGGATCTTTTCTCCTCAACTTTAGAGGGAAATGAAAGAAATATTGGAAACCCATCCAAATGATGTTGGCCTCTTCAAAAGGTGACCAACCCCGACCTCCAAAGAAATTAAAACCCCGAAAATCTCATGATACCTTGATCTACCACAAGTGTTGAAAATTTCTGATTCTCATTTTTAAAATTTTGTCCTTGTCTAGTTCTTAATGACTATTGGATTTTCAGAATCTCTAAAAAAGAAAAGGCCTGTTTTGATGAAGAATGGGACTGTACATTGTTATACTGACCATGTTTGGGTAGTGCATGCTAGAAAACCTTAAAGTATGTTTCTATTCATTTAAGATGGATATATGACATGGAGACAATAATAAAATTTGCCTTAATACTTCTTTCTTACCTATTAGTCTCTTGGTAGAAATAAAAACTGACCAGTGCCCAGGTTAATCCATTAGTTAGAAAAGTTCTTAGTTTTTAGGTGAAAAACTCTGTTTTGTGATTAAGGTGAGTATCGATATTTTGTTAATGTTGATGTTACTTTTTCTGAGAAGGCGTTCATTTCACAGAGTGGCCCTGCCTGGGGTTTGTTATTTGGATGCACCATCTCACTCTGGGTCTCCTTCCTCTCCAGATCCGCCAGCGGCAGAAGGCTCAAAGGAAGGCACGGCCTCTGCATAGCCGAAGGCCTCAGACTCGTAGATCAAGCTCAAGAAGATCTGGATATGCTTTTGCTCACCAAGAGGGCTACGGAGAGCTTATCACATCTGGAAAAAATATGCGAGCTAAAAATCCACCCCCAACATCAGGGTTGGAAAAGACACTGAGTAATAGCACTAGCTGGATTGAAAATTTCTGTAAGAAAACCACAGACACAATGAGCAGCTTTAACCAGAATAAAACAGTGAAACTGTGAGTCAAGATAAATTTGAACCACAGTATCCTTTCACTTCAGCCGGGGCTGAAATTCAGCTGGCTCTGGATTTTGGGATTGGGGCTAGGAGTGGGGCAGATTGCCTCACTTAATTTAAATCTTTGGCAGACAGCTGCCTGGTGCCCGTCAAATAGCAGTGTGCTCTACCAGAAACCAAGCCAGATGATCACCATCTAATTTGTTTTTATTTTATTTTATTGATTTTTTTACAGAGAAGAAGGGAGAGGGAGAGAGCGTTAGAAATGTCGATGAAAGAGAAACATCGACCAGCTGCTTCTTGCACACCCCCCACCGGGGACGTGCCCGCAACCAATGTACATGCCCCTGACCAGAATCGAACCTGGGACCCCCCAGTCCGCAGACACTCTACCACTGAGCCAAACCGGTTTTGGCAAATTTGTGATTTGACAGACAAAACCCTCACAATATAAGTACAGGGTTTATTCAACTTAGATACCAGTTGACCTGAACTTTAAAATTTTATATATTGAGAAAAGTTATAAATCTACATATACACAGTACATTGAATGGATCTTCAGGTGGATAAAAGGGTATATATCCCAACTGAAAAAGCATGCTTGTTTACAGATAAACACATATATGTAAGATCAGCCTTTCCCAAGATATACTTTTAATATTTAAAATTATACTAAGATGCTTTCAGTTTAAGGTATCTCCCTAGTCTTGATATCTACCTGTGGGTTCATCCAGGACAAAAATCACCTTTATGCCTGAAGAATAGAAAAATAACATTGGTATTCCTCATTTGTGTGCTCGGCTAGAGACGGTACAGATTGAGCATTTTAGCAGTGGGATAAATTGGTAATTTGGTCAAATTTATTTAAAAAACTCTCATGGATCTGTTCATGAAATGTCAAGGAGAGGCTCTTTAGAACACTTTAGTAAGTGTTCTAAATATTTTTCAATGACTTTTACAACAACCTTGGTAGGAACTCACCCTGTGTTATCCTGAACCATCAATGGAACCAGCAAAGCACTGAAATTTCAAACTTTAATGATAGTATTCCATAAAGGATATGGGCAAATACTTTCAACATTTCTTATTTTAAAAAGTTCCATTGGAAATCAAATTAGTCAACATTCTTTTAAATTACTATTAAATACCCAGGTTTAGGTCATTCAAGTGAGTTTGCTTTTGGTTTTTAGCTATAATGCTTATCACTGCAAAATAAACATATGTAGATGAGGCTGAGTTTTTGGAAACACTCTAGTCCAAATGTGAATCACCAATGTAGTTTCCTTAAAAGAATTCAAGCAGATTTGTGTTCCAAGTCTAGCTCTATTGCTTCTTACCTCTATAACTCTCAGTAGGTAAAGTGCCTCTCTGAGACTCTGTTTCTTCCTCTGCAAAATGAAGATATACTAACTACCTCATGTGGTTGTTTGAGGATTGTAAAAGCACAAATTCTCGAATCATTAAAAATGTAATTCTCATAGGAATAGATGAGGAGGTTAGGTCCATTTAATTTACCATCAGAATAATAGAGCAATCTGAAAAGGATTGAAGAACAAAAATTTAGCTAGTCCCTGTGAAAGATCTTGATGAAATGAGATTGCAAAGTAAGATATAAAACTGGTTAATGCCCTACAGGGAAATAAAACTATGACCATGGAGGTGAATTTCTCTACCGGAAAGCAAAAACAAATCATCCTCATGTTTCATCAATTTTTTACAAGTCAACCTCTAACTTTATAGGGTTCCTAATCTGGTCCCTATTAAATTATTAGTCAAAGTTATATTTCCCAAATGAGTCAAATGGCCCTTTGTGGGCTTGATGAATAATGGGCTAGCATAATATTAGTAGGTCACACAATCATGTTTTTATTTTTTGTTTTGTTTTGTTTTTGTTTTTTGGCCTTAATTTCCAAGACTGGGATAAGTTTATTTGAATGGGATCAAATAAGATATGTGTCAAAGAACCTAATCATAGTAAATGCTCATATATGTTCCCTTTGTCCCTACATGCCTATATAGATTTACAAAGATATTAGTTTTCAATGTCTAATGTGTTTGCTCACTTTTTATAACATTTTTGAAAGATTTGAAAATTTTCAGTAAATATTTTGGCAATATTGGTGTTTGATGTTTTGTCACTTCTTTATTGGGAACTCAAAGAGTTTTTGTCACATTGGTCAGCTGATTTTTCCCTCCTCTCTCTACTCTACATGCCTGGAAAAAATATACGTCATTCTTAGGAGCAGAGTCAAGAATAAAACAAACCAATTGGACCCATGTATAAGGGATGGGAAAGATTAGGAATGTTCCAAGTTTGCAAATTCAGTTCAAATTAAATGAGGCTGTTTGTAAACAGATAATGTGGATGATTGTGAGAGAAACACATTATCAGCTAACTTTGGCCCCATGAGATTCAAATTAGCTCACATACGCAATGCAAGATCATTTGATTACAAGTGCCAGGGATTATTTTGAACCTGAACAAAAAGAGTCTGAAGAGTGACTGGTGATGGCAGTACACTGGGGAATAATGAAATTTTAATTTTACATAACCATTATCAGATTATTTGGAAAGAAAATATATTATCTAGATTCAGGACTGATGTTCATAGTCTTGAGTTTTTAAAAACCTTAGTTCAAGTTTTGAAATTTTATAGGCAACTACAGGCCTGGTGCACAAAATTCGTGCACTTGGGGAGGTGTGCCTCAGCCCAGATTGTGAGAGGACACAGGCCAGGCCAAGAGACCCCACTGGTGTATGATTGGGGCAAGGGAGGGACACAGGAAGTTGGCCAGATGGGGAGGGACCATGGGAGGGCTCCAGGGTGTGTCAGCCCTTCTTGCTCAGTTCCAATAAGCTGGACCCCAGCAGCAAGCTAACCTACTGGTTGGGGCATCTGCCCCCTGGTGGTCAGTACACAACATAGTGAGAGGTTGAGTGGCCTTAGCATATTATTAGCATATTATGCTTTGATTGGTTGAACAGACAACCAGGCACTTAGCATATTAGGCTTTTATTATTGCTCCTTGTATTCTTTTGAGTTAGATCTGCCTCCAGGTATACATACCTGTGAAGGAAAGAGAGATAAAGCAAGAGGGGAAGAAAGCAATGAAGAGAAAAGAGACAAAGGGAGATAAGAGTTTCCAGTTATAAATCTCTGAAAAATAAATTCCTCAAAGTTTGTATTTGAGAAGTGAATACAAACCCTCATTCACAGTTAATGTGAGATCAAGGACATTTTATTAGAAAGGGGTCAGGAACTCTCTGGCTTCTAATTGCACAATGCTGCTGAGGTGTGTTGGGAAGGTCATGCCACTGACTTCCCCAAGCCTCAGCATCCCAACCCATCCATGGGAAAATAGACAGTATGGTCTCAAAGACCCTTTCGCATTTGCCCATTCTGTGAGCTTTTCTTGCTAGTGTTGCACACTGTTCATTTATTTATTTTTTTGTTTTTACTTCCCTTACTTTTTTTGGGGATCAAGTTTACAAAAGCCTCTCTGAGACCAAATTGATTAGAGAGGCAGAGGGACAGGAGAGAGAGAGAGAGAGAGAGAGAGAGAGAGAGAGAGAGAGAGAGAGAGAGAGAGAACAAGAGAACTGGAGAACTGGATTCTCCCTTGAGGGTAGGGCTTGACTCTGTACTGGTTTGTATTTCTCTAGAACAGCCCCTGGTGCCCTGCTGTTGCTCAGCTCTCCACAGAGATGCTAAACCCTAGGGTAGTGTGTTTGCCTGGGTCAGTTGAATATGCTCAATTTCTTGCTACTAAGATCTTATATCCACACTCTCTCCTTTCCTCTCTGCTGTTTTACATACCAAAAGCATATAGAAACAAAGGTAAGATACTTCTGCCTGGTAAGAAGAGGGCCATTTTAAAGTCCTTTCTACCTCATTCCTGGATTTAGAGGAGTTTATTTATTTTTTTAATTTAATTTGTTGACATTGGTTAATAACATTACTTAAGTGTTATGTACAATTCTATGATACTGTGTTCTCACCACCCAGATTCTAGTTTCTTTTCATCACCATACATTTGGCCACTTTACCTTCTTCATCCTCCCCCTTCTCCTCTTCTCTGATAACTGTTACCTGTGCCTATGAGTTGGTTTTTGTCTTATATCCTACGTGTAAATGAAAGCATATGTTCTTGTGCTTTTCCATCTGATTTATTTTGCTTAGCTGTTACTCTCAAGATCCCTCCATACTGTTGCAAAATCCTTTATTATGGTTGAGTCAATTCTTTTGTGTATACATACCACATCTTTATCTAATCATCCATGGAAGGATACTTTGGTTGTCTCCATCTCTTGACCACTGTGAACAATGCTGCATTGAACATGGGTACATATATCTTTATGAATAAATGTTTTTGGATTTTCACATGGTAAATTTATTCTTAATTTTTTAAGGATCCTCCATATTGTTTTCCACAGTGGCTGTACCAATTTACATTCCTCCAGCAGTGTATGAGGGTTCTTTTCTCTCCATATCCTCATCAACACTTGTTATTTCTTTTTTTTTAAAATATATTTTATTGATTTTTCACAGAGAGAGGGATAGAGAGTTAGAAACATCATTGAGAGAGAAACATTGATCAGTTGCCTCTTGCACACCCCCTACTGGGGATGTGCCCACAACCCAGGTACATGTCCTTGACCGGAATCAAACATGGGACCTTTTAGTCCGCAGGCTGATGCTCTATCCATTGAGCCAAACCAGTTTCGGCAACACTTGTTATTTATTTTATTAATAGTAGCTATACTAACAGGTGTGAGATGATAGCTTATTGTAGTTTTGATTTGAATTTCCCTGATGACTAGTGAATTGAGGTTCTTTTCATACATCTGTTGGCCATTTGTATGTCTTCTTGGGAAAGTATCTTTTCAGATCATCTACCCATTTTTAAATTAGATTGTTTTATTGTTGTTGTTGAATTGAATGAGTTCTTTATATATTTTGGATATTAGCCCCTTATATGTGGTATTCTTTGCAAATATCTTCTC